AGTTTGTTTGTCTCCCATTATTGGGAGAAAATTAGTGTAATGAATAGTATTTTTTTGGAGAATGTATGGTTGAAAATTAAAGTAACTTTATTGGTTTGTGTGTAGAATATTTTATTGGGTGAATGTGTAGTGGAGAATAGTAATGAGAAAAAAACCCAACCCGCTTCGCCCCGCCCTGAATGAGGCGAAAAAAACCCGCCCCAACGGGTTGGTGGGGCGTGGAGGGGGTGCTCGGCCCCAAAGCGCCCCGAACCCGTCCCGTGAAGAATAAAAAAAAATAATTAACTACAAATTAAAAACAAAAAATAGTTAATTGGAAGTTTTTGAAAAAAAATAAAAATAAACGAGGTAGGAAACGGGACAAGCCCGCGCCCGAACCCGCCCCATCTAAGGTGGGGCAGGGCGCGGGACAGGAAGGGGTGGGAGAGTGGGGGGTGGGACGGGGCATTGAACCCGCCCCGTTGCCATCTCTAGTGGAGAAAAAAAAAAGTGAATGAAATGAAATCAGTTAATACTATTCACGTCATCAATTGGTAAATCAATCTACACACTATTATGCATAAATAATATTACTCACCTGACATTGACCACTTGGTTCAGCCAAATGGCTGTTCGTTCAATCACTCTCTCCATGACTAGTTGCTCTGGGTCAGTAACTATGGTACTTCTTAACCCAAGTACTATCAAACTGAAAGGTGGAGGAGGTAAATGGACCTTTTTGAAGGTTCAGCACTAAATTGAATATATGTTTCAAATATTAGGGACCTACATTGCTAATTTTTCTATACACACAACTGTATATTGCCACCACATTTCCCTTTTAACAAAAACCCTAATCCTTCTTCTGTCGTATATATACTCTTCACTGACTCAGTCTGCGTGCACTCGGCTTCTTTCACTCTTTATGGGTAATCAATTTTTCTAGCAATTCCTTTCTGATCTATTGCTAATTTATCTATACTGGCAATTATAAGCGTTGATTGGGTTAGTGTTTTCGTTATTGTCATTACATTTTCGGAGGATTCAGAAAGTTTTTGTTTAATTGTTGATTTTCAGATAGATTTGGCGATAAAGAGTGAACAGTTTGCTACAGTGAAGATATGGCTCTGGTGAATAGTTCTATTTTCTCGATTATATATTTTTAAAATTTTTATTATTTGTCAGATCTGCGCGTTTTTCATTTGTAAAATAATGTATTTTTTGCAATTTAGCTTGAAAAGAGAGGTTTATATCTATGGAAGTTTGTGAATTGACGAGCGTTTTCAATTGAGTTGGATCAGAAATTTCAATAATATGGTCGGTTAAATGGAACTCAACATTGTTATTAATGGTTAATATGTAGATTTAAATAGTTTGTAGATGTGTTGAGAAGAACTTTTGGTGATATATAAGAAAATATGGAAATACAAGTCTGAACTTATAATGGATCCTTCAGTTGGAATTTTGGATCTTGTATCTTCACTGTTTTTCTTAATTTTGCAAAGGCATTTTTACTTAATCTTGATGATATATTTTGTTTGTTTGGTTTGATCCAGCACCCAAGACCAATGAGAGATTGTAGAATAGATGCTGTTACATTGATATGCATCTTTTGCATTTGGAAAAATTATTTCAGTCTTTAACACTCTACTGCCTTCTATATTTTCGAAATTATCATTAACAAGCTTCAGTTTATAAATGTCTAAACTATTTACTTATTGGCCCTCTGTGCTCATTGTATTTGATGCAGTTATCTGCGGTTAGCATATTTCTTCGTCATTTGTAGATCTTAGAGCATAGTGTGTTTTTGCATGTATATGTATGTATGCCAAATTTTATGATTCCATTATTTTTGACCTTGTTGGGTCTTCTATTCAGGTTCTACATGCGAGTAGTACAAACAAGAATGGCTACAAGGCTCTCATTGCTGCTGAATACAGTGATGTAAAAATTGAACTTGTAAAGAATTTTGAGATGGGTGTATCCAACAAGACTCCCGAGTTTCTCAAAATGAATCCTATTGGAAAGGTGTGTAAGAATAAAATGTGGGAAAAATGAGTGGTGCTAGTTAGGGTGTTCCGATTTTTCCTGATCTGGGTTTCTTCCCTGTAGGTTCCAGTACTTGAAACTTCTGATGGCCCACTATTTGAAAGCAATGCTATTGCTCGATATGGTGAAACCATTTCTCCGTTCCTTGGTCGATCACCTTATATATTTTAAAATTTGTTTTGACATTTATTTTATCACCTTGTGCAGTTACTCGGCTGAAGGCTGATAACCCCCTGTATGGTACTTCCTTGATTGACTATGTAAGGCATCAATACTTTAGTTTATCTTGTTTTATATTTTTTACTTGCATTGTGAACTTGTAAAATATTATACTCGTCATTTTATTTTGGCAGGGCCGCATTGAGCAATGGATTGATTTTGCCACTGCTGAGATTGATGTTAATATCGGGCGTTGGTTATACCCACGATTTGGTTTAACTGTATACCTTCCTCCGGTATGTTGAAACTTTTAATGTTCATTTCACACATGTAAATGTTTTCTACTTCATGGGCTAATGGAAATTTCCTTGATTATAACTTAATCCATTTATCTTCTTGTGTTCAAAGGCTGAAGAGGCTGCAATTGCTGCATTGAAAAGAGCTCTCGGAGCATTGAACACACATCTTACCTCTAACACATACTTGGTTGGTCATGGAATCACACTGGCCGACATTATTATGACATGCAACCTGAGTATTGGATTTAAGGCTATCATGACTAAGAGCTTTACATCAGAATTTCCTCATGTGGAGAGATACTTCTGGACCATGGTTAATCAGCCAAAATTTCACAAAATTTTGGGTGATCTGAAACAAGCAGAATCTATTCCTCCTGTTGCATCCAAGAAGCCTGCACAGACTAAAGAATCTGCAAAACCCAAACCAAAGGATGAACCAAAGGAAGAGGCTAAGAAAGAAGTGAAGCCGAAAGAGGTAGCAGCAGAGGAAGAAGAAGCACCCAAGCCAAAGCCTAAGAATCCTT